AAAGCCAATGTATGGAATAAGACACAGACCTGGTGATGGTCTTGGTATCAAATATGTCTTCTTTAAGGTTCCCATGTTTCCCGGGGGTGCTGACACCCCAGAACAGTCTGCTATTCTTGCTCTGATAACAACACCATTGGTGCTGGGCAAGTGGACCCAGGTGGGCGGTTTTATAGCTTTTTTCTTATAAGTCAGGCTGTGTTTCGGGCCTGGGGGAGTTGTTTCCCTTTCGCTTAAGAATAAGAGTCCTCAGTCTCCTTGCATTTCTTTTGCTGTGATGCAACCCTTTCAAAGCTCCCACTGAAACCTGGCTGGGGCCTGGGATCTTCTGGGAGCAGCGTCCTGTGCTGGAAATAATCTCTATTCCTCTGTTCCCAGAGGGACTGCAGTGCTACAGTCTTGGAAGGGATTTTAGGATCTAGTGCAATAACACGAGTTACAAAACACACACGCACACACTTTCTATTTGTGATGAAATATGAAGTGTTCTATTTTATCACGCATATAGCTCCACAGACATAGCATTGTTGATTGTGTCCCCACAATTCAAATGCTGCTTAACAGATTTTAGTACTGAGCATAAAACAATGCTGTGGCTTCATTCGAAATGATTCCTCAGATCTGTCTTGTTTTAGAGCCCATCTTTTTATTCATGCATTTTATTAGGACTTGTGCATACCAAGGCTGGAAGTGACTCCCAGATCCAGAGTTGTCAAGGAGATCTGACCAGCCGCCTTCTCACCTGACTGACCCCTGCCCGGCAGCCCCAGTCCAAGGGAACTGCAAGAAGCCTGCACAGCTGGACACCACTCACCTTCCTCTGTGTGCAGCACCTATGCCAGGTCCCCTGGCCTGTCCAGCACCTTGCTGGGTGGATTAGCTGGGTTGCTGTGCAGTCTCTTACTTTGCAGCCACCATCCAATCCCGTTAACATCCTGGCCGTGTCCCTTACTGCTTTTAGGTGTGTGTTTTTCCACCTCTGCCTAGAATTATGTGTCTCTTTTTATATCCTGGTAGTTGAGTGCTGGGAGTCCTGAGTACCCTGACTTCAGAGGAACTACATTGACCTGATAGATTAGATCCTCTAATTCTACACAAGATCTAAATGAGTCTAAGAAAAATTAAGCTGCTTAGTATTGAAACACCTACTTAGCTTTGGGAAACAGATATTGGAACTCAAGTCTTTAAACTCATATTGCTTGTCTTGCTAGGATTTGAAAGCCTTGATGCTTTCTTCTGTTTATGCATTCATTAATACAGGGCAGCCTAGGACAGCATGCAAGAGGATGGGCTCCCGAGCAGACTGCCCCAATTCAAAGCTGCCTCTAGGTGTTAAAGGTTGGACCATGTTCAAGTCCTTTAACTGCTCTGTTCCTGTTTTATCTGTAAAATGGGTATAATGAGAGCATCTCCTTCACAGAGCAGTTGCACGGGTACTGAACATACAAGAATAAAGCACTAATAAATATTTCTGTAAATATTTGATTCTATTTTAAGGAAAATGGTAAAAGTGATTTGGTGGCAGGGATAAGAGAAAGAAGAAGAGGGAAGTGTACACACACACAATGCAGAGAACACAGCACGCTGAGGTAGAGTGTGTTCAACAAGAGCCAAAGGAGAGAGCAGAATGTGTGTGTGAGGGAACTGGGAATCGTGTTCCATGCTGTACTCCTCCATGGCTCCAGTTAACTTGAGCCTTAATTACAATATTTTGTGTGTAGCTTCCGCTTTTCATGACGTAAATATTTAATGTGCTGGGAAATTAGCTTAGGAAACATCATACTTTCTATGTTATATTCAAACTACAGGCCCGATGCATGAAATTCGTGCAAGCGTAGGCCTGCCTTCCCCCGGTTGCTGGCACCAGCTTCCCTCTGGCACCCGGGACCCGGGCTTCCAGCTGCTGGCAGGCACCCGGGACCCAGGCTTCCCTTGCAGCCCCGGCTTCATCCAGAAGGTTGTCCAGAAGGATGTCCGGGAAAATGTCCGGTCTAATTAGCATATTATGCATTTATTATTATAGATTCTTGTCTACTTATCAATCATTTATATGTCAATCCCCTCATATTGCAGACACACTTTCTAGCATAACAGGTGGGAAATGCCATGGGTAGTTTAGGATTTCTGGAAGATTGCTCTAGTAGGGAATTAAACTCAGATTTTAGACACCTTTGGCTCCAAAGGGGAAAGGGCAGCTGGAATCAAAGTGGTGACAGTGATGATGAAAATAGCCAGATGTCCAACATCAAAAATCTCTACTATAACATAAAAAGACTCCTATTTAGGGAAATAACTTTAGGTGTTCTTGCTCTTTAAAATTTGATACTTCACACCTTCTAAAAAGTGGAGGAGAAAATTTTCATGGAATAGCAAGGTAGAAATACAATCTAATGTGCTCCATGTGCTAGACTAGGTTTTGGAAGGTAGAGGTCTTACCCTTCATCTTCTCTATCGGTGTTTACCTTCCCATGTGTCTGAGCACGCCTGAGTGAGGACTGCATAAGTACAGGAAGAATCATAGAAGACGCTGAACGTTCAAGAAATTAAAACATATTGGATATCCTTGTTAGCAATTTAAACTTGAAAATAGATGAGGGAAATGTGAGCACTAGGCTTACACAGGCTTATTGAAAACAGTTGCAAACATTCTCTAACCTTTTAAATATAGCATTACACAGGCATGATACAGTTCACGTTTGAAATTTCATTTTGAATGCTAAGAATAAATGACTTAAGTAGAAATCACAGCCTGCAATTTAAACTCTATTGTTTCAATCCGTGCTGTCCAACAGGAAATAATGCAAACCACAAATGTGAGCTGCATATACAATTTTAATTTTCTAGTAAACACATTAAAAAGTAAAAAGAGATAAAATTAATATCACAGTTTATATTTATTTAAGATAATATTAGTGTGTCAACAATAATAAATATAGAAATGAATAATGAGCTATTTTAATTTCTTAGTTGTCATACTGTCTTTGAATTTTGGTATACAGTTTAAAAGCAGAGCATGTCACAATCTCAAATTGCCAAATTTCAACCAAATAGCCACACATAGGTAGTGGTTACCATATTGGACAATATAGGTTGAAGTTAACTTTTTATGAACATTAATGTTCCAGAATGAAAAGATGCAATAAGGTATATACTATTTATGTTTCTGTCTAAAAGTCTCATCCATTCAAATTATTAAAGAATGCCATACCCTATTTTGGAGTGTCCTTATAGAATGCTTTTAGAGTAAAACACTTCATCTCACATCTTATCTCAAGCATGGGGAATTGCTTCCACATTAAATGTTGATATTTCAATATTTGTGAAGAGCGCATTGTACTTTTTATTATATTACATGGAACTGAATAAGTATTGAACTGAATTGACAGGTGGACTAAATGCCATTCTTTATAAACATTTAATTAAACAGGCATTGATTTTGATTTTAGTTCTCTTATTTTCTAAGTATTATATGTAATTTCCGGCCTCCAACACTTCTGGCTCTTGAAAACCTCATAGGCTGTGGACACTGTGCCTCTAATGCCAAGTATAAATCCACCCTGAATCAAGCCATGTCTTTCCGGATTGCTTGCAAAATACAGGGATGCCCCTATTCCTGTAGCTGTTAGTATAGTCACATATCACAGGCTTTTACCAAATTGAATTTGCTAACTTATGTTTTGCCATCAGGATATTCTGCTTGCCTATTTTTACAGCAATGGTACATTTACCCAATTTTGTTAATTTGGTAACTGTTAATTTGTTTGCTGTTTCTTGATTTAAGAGAGGCAAGAATTATCTCTGTTTTCTTTTCTACGGTATAACAAATAACCTAGTACAGTGATGGCGAACCTTTTGAGCTCAGCGTGTCAGCATTTTGAAAAACCCTAACTTAACTCTGATACTGTGTCACATATAGAAATTTTTTGATATTTGCAACCATAGTAAAACAAAGACTTATATTTTTGATATTTATTTTATATATTTAAATGCCATTTAACAAAGAAATATCAACCAAAAAATGAGTTTGCGTGTCACCTCTGACACGCGTGTCATAGGTTCGCCATCACTGACCTAGTATATGTAGATACTCAGTAAAACTTAAATAAATGAATGGGGGGAAATGTTTGCTGTAAAGAGAAATTTAAAACTCATTTTACCTACATGCAGAGTAGAGGTTGTCCATCTGGTAGGGAGCCAAAATTGCTCTGAGCTGGACAAACTCTACAAAATAATTCCCACATAGCTAGGGTTTCTGGTATTCAAGGCTAGAGAGCATTTTTTTTTAAAACTTAAAGCTTGTAAAGCCATCTGACAGTTTAGTAATAGTTTATATGTTATTACGATCATTTACTGTTACATGTAGTAATTTATCTTGTTTTCATTTATTTGTTTTCCTGAATGGTCTTATTCTTTGTATTATCTACTAGGGAACTTTTTGCTTTTTAAAAATTGTCTGCTTTTTTTCTTATTCTGAAAATCTGTGGTTCTCAATCTTGGCCCATTTTGTTCTTCCCAGGGGATATTTGATAGTGTCTGTAGATAGTTTTGTGTGTCACACAGGGTGTGGGGAGGATGCTACTTTGTTATCTGTTGACCAGAGGAAATGAGATGCTTCAAAAAAATCATAAAATGGACAAGGTAGCTCCCAGTAGCAAAGAATCATCCACCCCAAAATGTCCACAGTGCTGAGGTTGCAAAACCTTACCCTTGGTTCCCTTTAAAAACAGTGATCCCTGTTTTATCTTTAAAATGATTATTGAATTAAACAAAATATTGCTTCTGTTCATGATACACCTTTTGCTCCATTGTAACTAATACATTTCCAGTCTGTAAAAAGCTTAGTTTCACAAAATTAACAGGTTGAATAGCAATGACCATTTATCAATATATTTTTTAAAAGACCTCTCTGTTTCTTCAAATGCTGCCAGATATAATGAGAGTTTTGATGACTATCATGCGATTCTAGCAATTTAATATATCTCTGTTAATCTGTTTTATAGGTCCCTTTAGATGGAATATAATACTGCTGAAGCCGTTTCATCAAAAGGATTAATGCCTGCATTATCATTTCTGCAATAAAACAGAAAGCTAAGAGGGGGAGGCCACAGACACCTCAAACCTGGATTCCACAATTCCACATTAAGTGCTGGAGTTTTGACTACCCTGCTGTAGGTACGCCTTTGCCAATGCTTACAAGGAACTGCCTATCCCTGCTTCTCTGGGTCCTGTTTGATGGAGGTCTCCTAACACCACTTCCACCACAGCTACAGCAAACTTTAGCCACAGAGCCAAGAGAGAATGTTATCCACCTGCCAGGGCGGCAGCTGCATTTCCAACGAGTTAAACGTGGCTGGGTATGGAATCAGTTCTTTGTGCTGGAAGAATACATGGGCTCCGAACCTCAGTACGTGGGAAAGGTAATGGCCTGTTTCTTTTGACAACCCCTTGATAGCAAGGGGTCTTATGCGTTGTGTATTGTGTGTGGATGTTTGGCGCAGGAGTTGGAACAAGCCAGTGACTTGAACACTGGAAATGAAATTCAAGAAACCTGTTTTTTTCTTCCTGACTCAGTGACCCGGGTAAGCTTTTGGGAATATAATTTAGACTTTGATTATCCCTGGTTAACATATTTTTTTTTTCTTTTTTACATTCTTCGCTAAATATAAAGTTGAAATATATAAAAGTCTTTTAAAAAGTGCTATTATAGCACATCATAGACATTCTGAAATTGTTTACCCCTGAAAGAAAAAAGGAAAAAAATCACCAGGTATAAATATTCTAAACTGCTGTTGGTATCCTTGAATGACCAAGACATCTTTCTTCCTCTTCACCTTAAAAACATGACATATAATTAGAATTGTGGTTCTGAAGTATTTGACTTGGCTTGCTTATGCTTTATAAATAATTTCTTTATTATATGCTTTGCAAGCTATTTGTGAAGCTATTTACGGTCAGGTGAAAAAAAAATGTTGGAACCCAAATACGTACACATTGATCTTCAGCACAGCACACAATTTTCTAGTCATATTAGAAGTTTATGGGCATTTCTTCACCACAAAATAGTTGATGGAAAATGTCTGTTTCAGCACATTTAAGCTTAACTGTTATTTTCCTTATATAAAATATTTTTACCTATGTCTAGAATAGATAGAACTTATCAATGGCACTAGAAAACTTTTTTTTCTGGAACAGTAAATATTTTATTTTATTCTGATTTTAAATTTTCTAAAAGATTTTGCCATGGTCTGAACAAAAGAAAAAAATAGATATGCATAAAGAGAGTTTAAAGCAAGTCCAAGGACAGTAAAGGGAAGCCATAGTAAGAGGGGTATTAGTAGTTGATATATAGGAGAGCATGTCTCTTGAACATTAAAGTCCTCTGAACTTTCTGGAATCCTAAACTAATGATAAACATAATGAGTCTTATGATTTCAATGTCAGGTCAAAGAAGAAAATCATTCAAGATCTTAATATCTTGCAGTACATTTTTAGAAATTTTTTGAAAAAGTATTCAAAGAATATTGAATAAGATGGTACAGAAAGTCCTTAAATAGAAACCTTTGTTAGCAATGAAGATACAGCCAAGGCTGCCCGAGGCATATGAGCTCCCAGACGAGTATTTCCTGTGGGACACCTCTGTACATATAAAATCTAGTCACAGCAAATCAGTCTTTGAGTACCATGCTGGCAATTCAGTTTCTTATAATCTTGCCAAAAATCTTCAGGGCCATTAAGCTGGAGCAATGTCCTTGACAGGATTCCCACCTACTAGGAATCAGGGCCTGGGCATGTGACCCTAGGACAGTGGTTCTCAACCTTCCTAATGCCGCGACCCTTTAATACAGTTGTGGTGACCCCCAATTTCATCATTACAAATTGAACATAATTAAAGCATAGTGATTAATCACAAAAACAATATGCAATTATATATGTGTTTTCCGATGGTCTCAGGTGAGCCCTGTGAAAGGGTCGTTCGACCCCCAAAGGGGTCAGACCCGCAGGTTGAGAACCGCTGCCTTAGGACAACTCCTTAGGGCCAGTCCTGGTGTTCCACAGGGTATCTGGTGACCTCCCAAATTGAGCAGGAAGTCAGAGAGAGCCTTAACGGACACTGATGGGAGAAATGGACACCGAGGCCCAAGCAAGTCCCGGCCACCCCTGGGCACCACACCCCGATGGCATCACTGTCCACAGGTAAACTTGGGCACAAGAACAGTCTTAGAAAACCTTGAGAAAAGTACTCCAAAACATGGAGGTCCCCTTGTGCTACTGCACATTGTTTCTACTTATACTCTTTCTCCCTACAATCATCGTGGAATATAATAATCACTAAAACATTGTTAGGGTGAGATAGGTTCATATTGTGCTGGTAAACTTGTTAATTTAATCTAAGGGTTGCGTTTTCAAATCCAAGACAAATGAAAGGGTAGCACAGCTCTAAAACGGCCTCATGGGTGTCAGTTATCCCAACTGTGCTGATGACAGAAGATAGACAGGGAACAGAGGTTCCTGGTGCAGGTCTGATGAAAAGGGAAGCTCTGGTTTGGATTAAAGCAGTTCAGTAGCCTTTAGATGCTCAATTTTGAGGTGAGAAAATGGACATTCTGTTGAAAAATTAATGAAACGACTTCTAGTCTGTCCTAAATAGAGTAGCATTTCACCTCCTAATGGACGTAAGTAAAATGGAGCTAGGAGTTGCTTATGTAAGTTTTGTTTGGTATTCCAGAATTCTACCTTTGTAATTGCTATGACAGAATGGAACTCATCCAACTCATTTACAAGATTAGTTAGTGTTTATAAATAGATTAAAAAGAAAGAGGTATGACTCTGAGCCTATTATTAAATTAAGACATTTTCACAGGCAGATGGCCCCACATCTGTAAATTGTAATATGAACCCAGGGTTCTGAGGCATTGTGAGTTTCTAATGTAAATGAAACAACAGTTGCCAAAATCTTCTTTCCACATGGAAAATGGTTAAAGTTTAATTAACTCTGTCTTGATGATTCTAGATGTGGGAATAGTAATATGATAACATGGGGACCGATTTAAGCCATTATATGTGTGTAAACATATATAAATATATCTATGCTCTTGCTCTTTCTAGAAAGGCTTTGAGACAGTTTGTAGAAAAGTACAGTATTATAAATAATATAGTATACAGAGCTAAAGGAAAAAGCAAGTGCAAAAAAATTAAGCACAATAATCAGCCAAAGTACTATAATTGAGCCTCAAATTTCGCTTTGATTCTTTGCAATTAGAGCATCTATGGAAAACATTACTTTGTATACTTCCCATCATCTGAGCTTTATTTAATGAGAGGAAATTTGATTTCCCTAGGTTCAAATATAAAATAATTTATTCATGTAGAAAGTTATGGGGGTGGGAGGGTTCTGAGCAGCTTAGTGGACATTAGCCTCAGCAATTGTTACGTTTAAAGGGAAGAAATGTTAATGTTGACATCCTTTCAAGAAGACCAAACTGTGGCAGTAGACATAGAGATATAGGAATAATAGGTGTATAGATGGCAGTCAAAATCGCATAAATGGGTAACACACCCTAGAAAAAATTACAGAGAATATGTGAGAACTCTGATTTTCAGCTGCAAAGCAGACAAAGAAGAATTAGATAGTTTCATGGATAATAAATTAAAAGAAAGCTTTAAGAATAAGAAATGACAAATAATGTCAAACTCCACAAGTCAAATTAAATAACAACTGAAAAGCCTGTACTGGTTTGGGCAGTTAGTGAGCCAGAGGTGACCTTCATCAAATTGACTTTCATGGTTTTCCCTAGAGCTCAAAGGAGGGAGAAAGTGATGGGAACAGTGAATACATTTTAAAAGTGTAAATGAAAGAGATTGATCTATGATATGCCAGGTGTGATGTGACAGATACTCTATTAGCTGGTGTTTTCCAGAGAAACAAAACCAATAGTGTGTGTGTGTGTGTGTGTGTGTGTGTGTAGGGAAAGAGAGAGAGAGAGAGAGAGAGAGAGAGAGAGAGAGAGAGAGAAATGGAGAGTCCTTGAGAGAGAGAGTTATTTAAGGAATTTGTCACATATGACTGTGTAGATGCAAGTCCAAAATCTGCAGAGTAGGCTGGTAGGCTGGAGACTCAAGGAATCATTACAGATAAACTTAGTATAGCTATTCTAATTATGAACTATATATATTATACATATATGTGTGTATATACATAGAAGTATATACACACAATTATGGAGTATATTTGTTCCAATGTATTCCAACTATGTATTCCAGAGCTGGGAAAACAATTATAGTTCGGATTTGCAGATATGTTGGGCCCACTGAGAGATGTACCAGAGCTAAAATCCACTGAAGCCTGGCCTCCTTCAGCCCCTACTCTGACTGGTGGACCAACAGTGACTTTTGGCATCTTCTGGAATTAGTGTCAGTTTAGAGCCAGTGCCCAGTAGTTCCATAAAGGTCTGATTTTTTTCATTTCCCCCATGCACAGTAACCCTAGTAAAATCTTCCTAGGAAAGCTGGAAGAAAGATTAACTGTAACATTTTTTTAATAATTTATAGTGTAATGAGTCTCTTCCTCAAGGAGACCAGGCCTTTTTCCATTCCAGGGATTCTGGGTCTATAACTTGAGTCTGGGAATTGATTGCGGGGCTGTAACTCTCTGTTTTTATGATTCGGGTTAAACTTGTGTTTACTAGAACTTTTTTGCTGATACAGGTCAAGTAAGCATTTCATAGTCTTCCTATCAATTTCACTTCTAGGAACAATGCCAGTACCATAGGTCTCAGCGTGTCCCAGTATTCAGAAAGCTGCTTTATCTCTGCTGTCCATTATAGCAGCCATACCCACTTTGCCTTTGACCATTGAATGCTGCCACCCCATCCCTGTCACCTCAGGATCCAATTATTCCGATTGCATGTAGATTTCCCAGTTCCATGGGAGCAGTTCTCGCTGGTCCTGGCCTGCAGAGAAAAGCCATCACAGAGCTCTTCAAAGATGTAGGAGCTCCCCTTCCAAGCTTGCTTCTCCAAGTCATGGTGAAAGATGTGTCCTCTGGCACCTCCAGAGTGGGTGAGTAGGTCTTAAATGACAAATTTGTTAGTGTTCCAATTTCCCTAAGCTTTGCAATTCCTTCCTCTGCAATAAGCCAAGGCAGGTCTGGAATTTCAAATTTATTCACTGTGGGCAACCTTTTGCTCCATGTTTCAGCCAAGCAAACTGTTGAATCACTTCCTAACCCCAAAGCTGCAACATTAACTACAGAATTAAATGCAACATTAGATGCGGGATATTTGCTTAATTGGCCCACATCAATAAGTCCAATCTGATCCAACTTTGTTTCTTCATTCAATAGCTCACACTTTAAAAAAAAATATATATATATTATTGATTTTTTTACAGATAGAAAGGGAGAGGAATAGAGAGTTAG